TAGGAGCACAGACTTTGTTATCTATTTTAACATGCACAGTAATTCATTAGAAGTATCACTTTATGGATGAGAAGGCAGAAATGGCAGTGGCAGGACAGTCAACTCTAAACAGTTTCTTAACATGAGAAAAAGTAATTATTACTTTACTCTCAATCTCAACAGCAATAAACTGAGAGCATGTCTAATGCTGCAGCACAAAACAGCCCAGGACTCCGTAGGGGCTAATTTACAATGCAGGGTAAATCAGCATACAGTTTCATAAAGCCATTACTCTTAAGCTGTTACATAAGCATTCAGGTAAGGTCATTTAGACATTTTTATATTCCTCTGCTATAGGTATCTCAGGTTTCTTTGTATTTCTCTGCTGTGGCAGCACAGGGATACCCTAAAACTTGATTTATTAATGCTGAAACAGAGTCTCACATAGCCATATTTAAGAAAAAAGAATCTTGGTGGTAGAAATAAAAGAACAAACCTCTTCCATTTTCCTTGTTTCAAAAATGTGGATCTATCCTTCAACTGTGAGCTCCCTGAGACAAACTGCTCCTTCCCAGAGACCTCCAAGACACTCAAGAATTGCAGCACCTCTGTAAGAGCCTGTTCTCAAAAGATGAGGAGCTAGATGTGTTTTCTGTTAAGCACCTAGCTACAAGAACTCTGGTCTGAACCATGGTTTGCTTTGGGAGTTAGTTCCTGAAACATCAGGACACAAGAGATTTGACCACTTTCCTACAGGCAAAGAGGAAGACTCCTTCCCCCAGCATTTCTGCTATTTTTAATTAATTAATTTGAATGTATAGATTCAAAATCATTCTCATTTTAAAAGTCTGCAAGTGGTTTTCCAGCAACAGGACTTTTACCAGGCCTGAAATACTAGTCTACTGAAGTTAATTACACTTATGTCTATTCATTCTAACACAGTCAAAAATTTATCCCATCTCCTTACAGCCCTTCTTTCATTTCCATACTCTTACACAGATATCCTTCATACTAATGCATTCTTGACAGCATCAATACAAAAAACATTTTCTAAAGGTTTTGGTATTTGGAATAACCATGATTTCCACACATCTGACAAGTCAAACCCCGCTGCATTTACTCTCTCTGATCTTGCTACTGTTTAAAATATTCAACAGTAAAATTTGGAAATCACTCTAAAATAATCTTGTGACAATTTTATAAGCTTATGATTTTAAGCTATAGACAAAAACCCATATGCATATGCCATTTCACCTCTTAAAGAATCTGCTAATTAGAAAGCTAAATTTTGCCTTTGTTTAAACATTCTTGTACATAGTCAGTTATAGTAAAAATTAACACTATCTGATTTCTGAAGAAGTTGTAACTCACTGTTACTGATCTAATACTATCTAGCTGTTTACAAGCAGCAGCACAGTACTGTAGTTGCAACTAAAAACTACTGTGTCTTTAAAGCATGAACAAAATTATCTAGAAGTATCTGCAAACCAAGAAAGCAAACAAGCCACTGCATTGTTTCAATGTTTGGACCAAAACAGATGTATGACAGGAATACCTCACTTAACCCCAGAAGAAGAAAAAGCAAAGAACAGATTGTCCTTTCCACCTGTGTTGGCTATGGACAAAGAAAAACCCACCAAAACAAGTGAGCCAAAAAAACCCACCGAAAAACCAAACTCCTACTAATTCCTGTTGCGGCCGCACAATAAAAAGGAGCATCGCATCTTTGACAACATCAACTTCCCAGTGCGCCAACTTATCTGAATGTCTGCTTGTCAAGCAACAGCGACCGTCCATATATCACTGCTCAACTATTTTGCCATTGCACGAACATCGACTGTACAGGTATATTGTTTGTCATATGGATCGTATCACATGAACACTGATCCAGCAGAAAACAGAAGATCCTTTGTGTGCACAATGCAGCCAGTTATTATTTCTGGCTTCCATCTGGTCTGTTACTCTGCCTCACAGGAGACACAACAGCTGGACTGGCAGAAAGCAAAACCCAACAGCTGACTGTTCCTACCAGGTACATGCATGAGCAGGCAGGAGGTGAGAACGCAGCTTCTATGTTAATGCAACTAATGAGAGGAAGAGTCAGTAAGTCCCAAAACTGGAAGCCAGCCTCAGTACTGTGAGAGGTGGGCCATCGTTTTTCATTCCTTCCCCTTCCCTTCAAAGAAAAAAAAAAAAATCAACAAAATACTCTTAGGGCAGTATGTCAATAGAAGAGATTTATGGAAAACTTTATCCCTTTACACCTAGTGTGTGACTGGAGGTCCATAAATGAATGTAATGTGTACAGTCTGGGAGAAGGACAGAACTTGCCCTTCCCTTACCACATTCTCTGTATTCTGTTCCAGGATAGATAGTTTACTTGAGATTTCTCTGAAGTTGAAGCAGGATGAGGAATAAAATTGCTCTGAAGAGGTTAGCGCAGGCCAGTAGCTATAGCATTTATATTATCTTCTCATTCCAACAAGGATGGAGAACTGAACAGTAAACCAAAACCAAACAGCAACAAAAGCAACCAATGATTCTTTGGGCATTTCCCTGCATAACTACTAGTCCTGGTCTGACTAAATCACTTGAGTTACAGTGCTTGCTACTAAGGAAACGATCTGGAACTTAAATTAGCATCGCTCACAATACAAGTCTAAAACCCAAATGATTTGGACTAGTTTAAGACTAAGAAAGATCCCTCTCTTTCAAGAGTCTTCAAGCTGAGAAAGAGCTATTCACATTTAAGAATTTAGGCACTGACGGAACAAGACATTTGCCAACAAATACGCTGTAAAGCTGGGAACACAACTCCAGTCAAGTAATTCCATACTAATTCTGAATTCTCTCCTTAAGAGGCAATGGTCAGATAAAGTTTAAAAAGGCAGGACCAAAAAAATTAGACACAATTGCTCCATGTACCTTTTGCAACCACAAATGAAATTTTGTCACAAAAGGGATGTTGCAGCATCTTCAGATGGCATAAACAGCCTCGTATAACAAAACCATGCTCTTCCAATCAACAAATATTAATGTCAACTCTTGGTGCATGTGACATTGCACAATGGCTCCCACCAAGGTTATGATCTCATAGTTATTAGAGTAAGGTTAAGATGGACTTTGTTTCTAAACCTCCCTCTGCTGTTGGCTAAATAACACGAGACTGAGGCCAATTCTTTTAACTTGTATCTCCTATTTCCAGCTTACAAAAGAAAGCTGATAGTTTGGGGGTTTTTAGGGGGCTTCTTGTTTATTTGTTTTTAAAGACTGGAGTGCTTTGGTGGAGCTCAACATAAATGCAGCTTTCATACATGGCACTAACCTGCCTAGTAATACAAAGGCTAAGCTGAACTCTCACTGGCAGCAACAGTTCTATAAAGTGTATTCCCAATGTCTGTATTGTTTATATGTTTCTAACACCTAATAATCTTAGCATTTAAGTGAGAGTTGTACATCTGTACATGCATGCTTTCTAGAATAGTCAACAATTAAAAGCTATTTCAAAACAAGCCCTCCACATGAATTGTTGCTCTCTTATGCCTGTCTCCTACAGCACCATGCAACCATGAAACAAAAAGCACTCGTGACACATTCTGTACGCAAAACAAACCTCATTAAAGGATGCGTGGAATTTTCATCAGAATTTCCTCCTGTCCCACTGTATGCCTATGACAACTATATATATAAATACAGACCATTTTCAGAAAAAGTTGAACTAAAGTTCAAAAGCACCTAAAATGACTTTGTGAAATGCGCACTGACTCACCAAAGTGAAATCCTAGTGGCAGAGACAAAGGAACAGTCTTTGGGTTTTGTCTCTATGTGGCACTACAGACTTGGCTCAGAGATGCAGTAGGTCACAGCTCAATAACTGCACACAGGTGCTAGGGACCACCATGCCCATTATGCTCCATCAGACACAGGTAGAAGCTTTAGGTGCATGTCATTTGCCGTGAAATACTGTTAGAAGAGCAAGGGGTCAATGAGCTGGAGAGGAGTCTGCCACCAGTGTGTTCTGCTGCAAGACTTGATCAATACTAGTCGTTCTGTGTAAATTTCTGTTGTGTAAAAGAAGCTGTAGCCTTTACCATGCACTAGGACAGTGTCACCAAAAATTGACCCGAGATAGAAGGTGGAATAGTACAGCATTGCAGACATCTCCCTCCTGCCCAAAGGGTCCCATAACAACAAATGGACATTCCACACATCAGCATTTCCAAGGCATGGGATCTGTGAGCGAGCAAAGAAAGTTAAAGCACTAAAAGTCCCATTCCTGTCCAAGCTGTAAGTCTGCTGCTTTATGAAAATTCTCTCATACTCTGATGTCATCTCTAGTTGCAAATAGTTTGTCGTTGGATGATTTTCAAAACGATCAAAATGAAACAATATCACAATTCCTATAGTTCTGAGACCAGCAGCCTTACACTGAGAGCGTTTCATTTTCTGAATCAACATTTTGTTAGAAATTATGTCTAATGTGTAGCAGGAGAAACATTCTCACATCTGCACTGGGTGCTCCTAAGGGTATGTACATTTATTTCTAGGTATCAGTGAGACATTTTTCATAATTTACAAGTGTCTCAATAAAATGCCATCTCAGAAGGTTTCTAAACAGTCATGTTATTACATGTCCAGGTATGCTAAAAACGGATTTAGGCTCTGAAAATGCTAGTCCCACTGCTGGGTGCCTATAAAGCCCCCAGTATGTGGGTCTGCAATAAACTAGTGAAGAACTAGCCCCCTTCACTTCCACAATAAAGGAAAAAAGGGCATCGAGGGGGATAGGAAAGTTAAGTCTGAAAAGAAAACAACTTTGGCTGAAATCTTTGTTATTAATTTCCAACCTTTCCCCAGATTTTAGTAATTTCACTTCTCTGTTTCTTGTCTTGTATTTCCATTCTTTCTCCCCACCTGCTCAGAGCATAGTAGGTAGCAAAATGTCATCTTAACTTAGGATTTCACTTATGGTTAAGTGGAAAAAAAAATAAGGTAGACTGTGTTTCCTGTAAAAGGTACAAAGCTGAAGAACTAGAGATGAGTCTCTGGAAAGTCTGCAATAATCACTGTCTACACTATAATTTCAGTAAGACGAGACATACGGTATTTTCTCTGCCAGAAGTTGTACATACTGGATCAAAACCTTACAAAAAATTTAGATCTCTGTGTTACTTAAACGCAAAGCAGACTTACATTTAGGACTCCTCCTGGATGCCACTCTCTGAGGTAACCCACCTTTCAACAAGTGGCCTACTATAAAGTAGGGCTACTATCACCATGCATAAGTAGCTTAACAAATGTACCAAACCAGAGCAATGGATATTTGAAACTGCTTTATGAAAAAGATTATACTTCTTTTTTCATCCAAGCAGCAAAAAAATCCAAAACTCCAACCAAACAAGAACAAAATGCAGATTTATGACTGTTACTGATACTATAGCTGAAAAACAAACAAACAAAAAGAAAACCCCCAAAACCCAAACCAGTAAAGTTTTCTAAAAAAAAAATATTTCACAGATTGGACTTTGTGGAGACAAAGGAAAGCTTACTTTAGTCATGGGAGCTTAAGGGGCATGAAACACATTGTTAAAAAGAGGTAAAACAAGCTTTTCAATCTCAGCTTTGATACTGTGTACCACATTACTCACACTTAGCGAGCATGAAATTCAACATTCACCTGTCTCAGTTGCAGAAGTTTCAAAAGAAAACAGTAAATTCCATTCACATTAAATCTCTAACACTCCATAGAAAGCTGTGTCTACAGCTGTGACTATTATAAAATACTTTAAGCTTTCTGGCTATCAGCTTGCTCAAAATAATGTATAAGAAAACTTACAAAAAATTAAGTTAGACATACCTTAACACCATCTACCTGATGATGGTAATTACGTAACCATGGGGTTTTCTGTTTTGGCAATGAGGGGAATGGCATCAGGGGAAGGGTTGAAAATATTTTCCTATTCATGCATTAAAAAGACTCTCTCCCCCACTTTCCCCCTAACAAAAGACTCAAGCATGCCTTAATTTATACATCTTTTGGATGGACAACAGCCCACAGGGAGAATGCAGCTGAAGCAGCATGGGGTAAATCTATTTATTCCTTAGCTTTCTCTAGCATTCCTCACTGAAAAGCTTACATTATATTAGTGTTACATACCACCAGTTAGTTTAAATAAAACATATACATTTAAGTTTTTCATTGATCCTGACACTTCAAAGGCAGTTTTCCCTGCTTTCTTTAAGAAAACAGCAGGAGAGGGAAAACCCACAATCAAACCTGCCTGAGAATGTGAACTAATGAGACCCTCTATTTAAAGATTCTTGTTGCTTCAAGCCCAGCTGAAAACAGCTGTTCTACAGTTCTTGTTTGTCTTCCCAGTGGACAATGAAAAATGATTAATGAAATATTTGTTGTTATTTTTACAGCTTTGTAGAGTGCTGTGCAATATGAGAGCAGAGCTATGTTTTGGTGACAACATGCTATTGGTACCAAAAAAATCTGTAGTTTGTTACAGTCTGAACATCTGATTAATGCTTACAAGGTCACAGGCAGTGTTATCTTAAAAACACTAATTTCAGATGAGCAGGTGTTCACACACCTTGACAGATCCCAGTAGGACGGAACCAAACAGGTAAAATCTGCTTCTATCTCCATTTAGGTTGCCAAGAAAGCAGTTTTGACAACCTAAACCTTGAACATGGAAGCTGCTAACAAAAGTATTGTGTTACAAATTGAAAGGCATGTTTGCTTGTAAGAAAAGAAAAATTAAAAAATAAAAAAAATAAAAAAAGCTAACACCTCTGCTGCAGGAAATATATAAATTTAGAATACTAGTCAAGAACTTTTCTGCTATCTGTCCGAAACCCTACTTTATAGAAAAACCTGAGCCACGTAATTCCCCATTTTATACAGGGAGAGCAGACAATACGTATGACATGAAAGATCAATCTGATGCCTATAAGCAACCTGCAATTGATTCCATATCCTGTTCACATCATTGATGAAGACAAGTCAACACCACTTAAATATGTCAGTTCAATTTTTTAATAATTGCAATTTAACTAAGGTGTTCAAATTACACCGTGCACATTTTCATAATGAAAACATTTACTAAAATATGGGGATGGGGATGGCAATGGCATGTTTTTCCAGTTCCTAGTCAAATGTGAAGAAAGCCCAAACCAAGTGTTCTTTAAACTGATGTAGTTAATGCTACACCTAGAATAAATTTCTGACATCCAGTGTTGAAATAATCTTTCTCTTAATTGCAAAGAAACCCTAACCAATACTTACCATTTGATGTCTTCTGTAGTTCCGCTTTCAAATGTTCAACTTCCTTCTTCAACCTTTCCTCTGTTGCTTCCACTGACTCTTTCTTTCTACTGCTTCCTTTTTCACACAAGGCCTATTAAAAACCACAGTTGCTACAATTAATTTTATTTTCATTAATCTGACATTAATGCCAAACAGCCAGAGAATGTCAGCCTTAATCTTGCAAAGTGACAGGTTCTATCACGTGCCAACATGACATAGGCAGATACTCAATTCATTCTAGGGGAAAAGAAAAAAAAAAAAAAGGAAAAAATAGTCAATGTTTTCAAGTTGACAGTAGTGGCATACTTGTAATAGCATGGCATTATCTCCTGTGTAAGAGTACTTTGTACCTCTTCATGAAGCCCACAACTTCTGTTTATGTTACAAATGTCTTTTCTGGAGTGCAAGTGACAGAACACTGCCATGTTTATGTGCAACTTGTTCTAATCATTTATTCTGATTTAAATCATGTAATAAATCACAAATCTCTTCATGGAGGTTTACAGCTGCTTTTTCAATCTTCATAATACCTCAATACCCAGATTAGATTTCTTCTGAAATTCAAGAAGAAACTTAGACACACTCTTACCATTAAGGAAATTGCAACTGATGACTTAAAACTATCGTACATTAAGGATTAGATCCCATAATTAGACCCTTTGCTCATATAGCCTCTATAATCCAGCCAAGCATTATGTCTGCTACGAAAACGGCAAAAGAAGTGGCAAAAGCTTAATGGGAAAAGTAGAACAACTGAGATGAACAGCTGTTAGGTGAACTCATGATATCAGAGTTTACTGGGCACAGGTGGGAGCAGATGGGAAAGATTACTTTAGGAAGAAGGAAAAGAACTGTTTATAAAGACTGGTAAACAATCCAAAGAAAAGAGCTGAAGAAAATCTTCCAGAAGCAATCTAACCAAAGAGCAGAGATTGCACTTGACTGCTGGTAACAAAACCATAGCCAATTTGTCATGAAATTGGCCACAAATTGCCTCCTTTACTTTGTGCTCCCCTCTTTCTATTAATACACAAATAGTTATTTCTGTAAACTTTTATCTTAAGTCCTGCGCTCCATGGAAGCTCTGAACAGGAGACAGTGCAGACCTAGCACACTAGAGTAAACTTACCGTACTGATACTTACAGGCAGTGCCGTGTATGCAATTGCTCTTGCCTCTGTCTGATGGTGAAGTGAAGCACGCTTGTAAATGAACACAAATGTAGGGGGAGTAACCTAAGTCATAGTATCGCTATAAAGTTAAAATAAACCAATTCTGAACACTTTGCATCTCCAGTGCAATGGAGATCCAAGCACAGCACGCTGGCTGCACCTGTGGCTACCACTGGTTTTGCAAACCATGCAGTCAAACACACAAATAGAAACAGACAGGAATACAGTTTCCAGTTTCTGGCTATCACTTACAAGTAGCTAAGAGACTGTGTTGCCAAGAGAATGTGAAAGCAGAACAAAAAGGGGACTTTTGGCCAAATCCCAACGGGGCGAGGGGAGTACCAGTATGCAATTAAGAGACAAATTCCACAGCTGAGGGAGGGCATCTGGATTTTTCTGACAAAATACCAAATCCCAAAATTTTGGAATAATTTCATACCTGGGAAATACCTAACATGCACTCTAGTGATCCTTGCTCTGCAACACCTCTCAAACTGGATTTTTTTGCATCCTTTCTAGTACATTTTGTATGGAATCTGTTCACTTTGTCTGAAGAGACAAAGAGATTTGTTACAAAAAAATTACAGTGCTAGTAACCATAGACACTGCTCCAGACAAACTGGAAGGCAACCTGTACACACCTGCAGTGAATTTTGTTTTGGCAATGTGCCAGACTGAAGAATGCTGTAAAAGTCTTCATACCCTGGATATCTGTACCCCAGCCTATGGTTCAAACTCTTTCAACAGAAGTCAAACTAGCCAATTACAAGAAAAGATTTCATATATTTATCTTTATCATCTTTCCTGACTTCCCTTCCTGCATACACCTGTATATTGAACCACAACAGACGAATGATAGCTTAATTTTCTACATTCTTCTCATAAAAATAAACTATTTTTGGTCCATTGGAGGTTCTTTTAAGTAAGAAATTTTTAGCAATATCCTCATTAACACTACAGCAGCGCCTTACTGAAAGGAAGGTATTAAGAAATTGGCTGACTCACCATAAAAGTAGATGCAAGAATACAAAATACAGTAAATACAAACCCCCAATTTTACAAATTAAAAAAGATATTTCAGGATTGGAGCAAATTCTATTTAAAAGAAACAGCGTGAGAACAGCTATATTTCAGGCTTTTCTGTACTGCACTGCTATAGCCCTGACCTAAAAAGCCAACCGTTTCGGATAAAACTAATGAAATTAGTGTCTCCCTCTACTTTGCTATGATTAAATCGAAGAGGCATTTTAAGAATATATTACTACTTGAATGAAATTTGTACTGGAAAGACAAAACTTCATTTATTTGGATTACTTTAGTTTCCTTTGTTAATAAAATGCTACTGAAATTTGTATTCAGTATTCTGAATCACATATTTCAAGAACATTGTTCTTCCTTTTTCCACCAGAATAAAAAAACCCAAACAAACATTATTCACTAGCAAACCATCCCCAGAGTATTTTGTACTAACTACTTGCTGTATAAGAAAATAACTAAGAAAGTTCAAAGATACCTCCTGCAGCCTTTCATTCTCGGCCATGTATTTTTTGGCTGCTTCAGTAGCATCATTTACTTGCATTTCCAGAGCTGCATGAGATGTCATCCCTTTTGCCAACTGAGTAATAAGGGTAACAGTGCGTCTCAATACACTGGTGAAGAAACACAGTGAACAGCATAGTAATTCACAGCACAAATTAAAAACAAAACAAAAAAAACCAAAACAAAACCAAAACCACCCATTTTCTCTCTCTGCATTAGACGTGAAAACAAAACCACAAGAGGACTGTTTAAGCACCTAAGGGGGAAACATCCAGGCTCACTGATGACAAATAATAGTAAAGTAAGAGACTGAAAAGATTTTCATCCATGAAAAATCTGATTCTTACCTGATACAGAACCTCCCTCCTCCCAAAACCCCATAGCTGTTAAGGGGTCAGAGACCTGCTTGCTTAAAAGGCTGAAATACTCTTACATGACCTGGTGTTTCAAATAGGATGGCACTCTGAATACAAGACCCAAGCAACACATTATGGTAATGAGTACAATGCAAAAAAAAACCCAACCCCACAACCAAAAAAACCCCCAACAAACACCAAACTCAACACAATTTTATAAAAGGCCTTAGAAGAATTAGCAATGTGAACATATTAATCTTCAAAGAACTCTGTCAATACTGTATAAATCAGAACATCCATGAATGTCAGCACTCATATGGCACCTCAAATCCAAGCTTTGCAAATACCTCCCTTGATTTATCTAGTGATTGCCTCTTTGCATCACTACTTCCATTATTCACCTCGGAGTCTTTCAAAGCAGCACATTGCCAAATCAGGGAAAGGCCAAAGCAACACTGAATTAAATTAATTCCTGCAATATAACCTATCTCTTAAAAAAAAAAAAAAAAGTGAAAATCTAAATAATTGGCATAACTAAAAACATATTACTAGACCTTTTGGCTTTCAAGGTAAGCCCACCCCCTCCTTTTTCGTCAGAAGCTCATTTTCTTACTTTCTTGGTTTTAATAAAAAAGTTAAGGTCCCCTATGTCACTACTTTTCCGAGGGCTAGCATGTTTTACTTTTCCTTATTAATTTATAGATGCAGCAGTCAGTAATGATGTTTTACTGACTCCTAAAACAGAATCACAGAATCATATAGGTTGAAAGGGGCTTCCAGAGGTCATTCTGTCCAAGCTCCTGCCCAAAGCAGGGACAGGTAGAGCAGATTGCTCAGAGGCTTGTCCAGCTGAGCTCCCACTGTCTCCAGTGATGGAGATTCCACCATCTTTTGGGGTCCTTGTTCCAGTACTTGACAGCTCTTGATAGTAGAAAAAGTACTTTTTACCACAAGTCAGAATTTCCCAGGTTCCTGGCCTGTTGCCTCTTGTCATTCCTGTGTGGATCCACTGAGAAGAGCTGGCTCCACCTTCTCTACATCCTACCACTAGAGAGCTGTAGAAAGCAATAGGATCTCCCCTTCAATGCCTCTTTTTGAGGAGAGGATGTGGCTTTGGCCACATACGTCATGTGTTTTGGCCCCCAACCTTCTCAATACCACACTGCAGTACTCCAGTATTTTGGGGAGTCAAAACTGGACACGGTCCTGCAGCTGCAGTACCACATGTGCCACACAGAGGTGAATAACAGCTTCTCTTGACCTGCTGGCTACACCCTTGCTGTTACCGCTCAATACATGACTGGCTGTCTACCAGGATCCCCAGGTCCTTTTCCGCAAAACTGCTTTCCACACTGCCAGCGAGTCCATCCCCAGCCTGGATGCTGTACGTGGTTATCCGACAAGATGATGGACTTTGCATTTGCCTTTGTGGAACTGCGTGGGATTTCTGGCAGCACATTTCTCCAACCTGTCTAGCTCTCTCTGAATAGCAGCCCTGCCCTCAAAAGATATCAACCACTCTGATTTGGTACTGTCTGCAAACTTGCTGAGAGCACGTTGAATCCCATCATCCAAGTTGTTCATAAGGACATTAAACTGTATTGAGCCCCAGTACCAATCCTTGAGGGGCTCTAGCTGGAATTTGCATCACAATCATCCTTTGAGCCCAAAGGCCTAGGAAATTTTCCACCCACTTCTCCAGCCCATATCCCTCCACAGTTAGGCTATCAGGATACCAGAAGAGACTATGACAAAGGCCTTGCTAAAGGCACACAGCATCCACTGCTCTGCCCTTTATCCACACAGCCAGTCATCTCATTGCAGAAGGCAATGAGCATGATCAGGCATGACCTCCCCTCAGTAAATCCGTGTTGGCTGTTCCAAGTCGTTGTAGCCTTCATGTCCCTGGAAATGGCTTTGAGTAGGATTTGCTCCTTAACCTTTCCAGGGAGGTGAGGCTGATTAGTCTCTACTTCCCTACATCCTGCTTTTTGTCCTCTTGAACACAGGTGCAATGTTTGCCTTTCTGCAGTCACCAGGATCCTCCCCGATCACCATGATCTTTCAAAGATGAGAGAGTATGGCCTTGCAATGACATTGGCCAACTCCCTCTGCATGCAAGGATGCATCCCATCCCAGGATGTCACAAACTTGTATATGCCCAATCTGTTTAAGTACTCCCTAGCTGCCTTTTCTGCTACTGTGGGGAATGTTACATTCCCCACCGACTCTCCTAAAAGGCTCAGAGAACTGGGAGGCCAAACCGCAAGAAACAATGTAATGTAAATTTGGTAATGAGACATTCAATGTCTCATTCTTTTCCATATCCTTTGTCATTTGGTCCCCTGCCACAGTGAGCAGTGGGCCCATGTTTTCTTTAGCTTTCCTTTTGTTTTCAGTCCTTCTCATCCCTCTCTGGTTCAGCACAGTGTAACAGGGGGCAGATAAAATTTGGCAGGCTCCCTACATCTCCCAAGCTGTCAAATCAGATTAGTAGATGTGTGCCTCTGTCCTGCCTAGTGGACAGTCTCTGGTAATGACGACCTTCCTCTTTTCTGTGCAAACAGTTGGTGGATGAAGGCTCAGCTGGACTAAACACCTCCATTGATAGAAGGTCATTTTTCCTCACCTGTACCCAGTGTTCTACAATTGCTGGACCACCAACAGAGAAGAGTTTTTGTGGTGTTGCCAGAAGTGACAAGCTTCCGGCCTCCTCCATCTTGGGAATCTCTATCTACCACTCTTCTGGGATTCTCCTTTGGCTGATGTGCTAAAATGAATCAAAACTGACCCAAAGAATGAATGAGGGGCATCCAAGTACCCATTCACACCTACATGTGGTCTTAACTTGGTTGGGCGATGGTAGCAGCAGCATAGGATAAGGCAACCCAAGGAACACTTTTTTTCCTTCTCTGACAGACATTATGCCTGTTTAATGGATAAGCAAAATAGCTCTACTAAGAAAAGTCTTCTGATCTAGCCCCTACTGTAGGACCACTTATTTCTTCCAAACCTTGGTGAAAGGCTAGTAGCCCAAAAAAAGGCCTTAAGCAAACCTCTTCAAGAGCAGAACTTTTACCCACAATAAAATCTATTAGGGCCACCTGACAAGTTTTCTTCCCTGAAATCTGAGGGGGAGTAGGATCCTGGGCGACCAGCTTCCAACTTCTAGTCCAGGACACAATCCAGCTATTCCTCTCTGGGAGCAGAGATCACAAACATATTTGTGCATATTTACTTAACCTTTCTGAAGGAAGACAAAGAACATGATGCATTCCCATCACTATTGTGCAAGGCTACAGCCACCTTCGTTTTTTCCAGTTTTCTTGCTCAAATTTTGCAGGAACTTTTCCTTAATGCTTCTTTATGTACAACGCTCCTTGATGATCAGCTAAAATGGCCATACATCACTCCAAGGGGAAGAAGTTTGTCAGAAGTCTCTGTCTCCAGGCATCTCCTTGTTCTCTGTTCCTCTTGCTTATATCTATGTCAAGCAGCTCACTGAAGTAATTCAGAAGAGGGCCAGCATCCTTTGCCCAATGTCACCATAAAAAATATACAAATAGGAAGTCATCTGACCAATGTGGCTGTTTCCACTCATTCACATTATCTCTGTCCAATTAGTTCATGTGCTCCTTGCCCAACTAAGAGGATCTGCAGGTTGTTGTGGCTACTGTGAAGATTAACAGGTAGTTTTGACTGCTACTGCTGGGCAGTACAGAACTGTCCTTTCCATTACCCTGTTTTATAGCTGTGTTTAAACATCCTGAAAGGGATACCACACTAAAGATCATAATATTGTAGTAGGCCAGTTGGCACAAAGTGCTTGATATGAAATACCTGAAACTCTCCTTGGAAGCTGGAACATGATCCTACAGCTCCTGCGAGCTTTGGACGAAGTGGTTCAAGTCAGACTCAAGCTTTGCTTCTTAACACAGCAGGATGCAATATTACCTTCTTGCAACATATTAAGATTATTTTAACAGTACTTTAGTTTTTCAGGGTTTTTTTATTCCATTTTTCCATGCTCAAAACAAACAAAACATAGGGCATAAGTTTAGGAGGAAATGAGTATTCCCTGAAGAAACTTCTCCTGCAAAATACATGTTTTCTCAAACATTCAAAATGTTTCTTTCCATGTGTTGCTTACATATCCTTCCAATCTTCAGACATTTGTAAGATATTATTTTCCCTGATCTTACTTGCCTCATAGCCAATCTGCCCACACTTAATTCTTTAATCTCTTGAAATCGGCCTTCTGATCTTTTTCATAGTTGGATCACTATGTGCAATAGCTCCTGTAAGAAACATGCTATGCAGAAATGAGAAAAATGTTATACTTACAGCCAAAGAAATAAGGAAAATCCTGAGAGATAGAGGTTTCTTTGCGAACGGAAGAGTTTCAACTGAATATGATCAAAGGCATTGGTATTGACATTTACAGCCTTCTCATTCACATGAATGGATGAGTACTTCCTGACTTCTCTAATAGCATCTGTAAACACAAACAGTTTGTTCTTATTCACACCTGGGGGCATGCATGTATGATAAACCAACCATAGTGCTAGAAAGATGTATTTGGACTTTCTGCTCAGCAAACAGGCATAGGACAAACAGTGACATTGCTTATATTATCCATACATTTTAAAGATAGGTCTTGATAAATCACTGAAGTGATAGAATAGATTTCCAGAGATATGCCAAACCACTGTCCAAAACATGCTTGAACAGTCATTTCCAACACTTGCACCCAGCCACCAGGGATCAGGCCAAAGCAACACATTCTACAAAGAGAGACCCTACAGACAGTGTCAAAGTGTCACTGCTGACAACTGAATTAAAATCCTGCCAGTGGACAGTGAGAAAACAGAAAGGAAAAGGAAAAAGAAGAGATGCCTTCTGAAGTATTGCCTCATCAGCAATTTGTTACATAAGCATATATTTTAGTAACTACAAAAGTGTCTACTTTATGCTTCAATCAGAGAGGGGAAAAATGATTTCTATAACACCCATCAAAACAGGAATATTGTAGCAACACAGTGCTGAAATAAACAGAGGGGGTAAGCAACACCCCAGCTTTCTTTCATCTGCCCTTCCTCCATCTTTCAGTGTCCTTTCATCCATCATATACTCCTGATAGTTCTGCAGAAGGACCAATACACTGCCAACACTTTTCAAAGGACAAAATAATTAATTAAGACTTACATCTACATAAAACCAAACGCTAACCCAGTTAAAAGTTCGTATTACAATTAGTAAACTTAAGGTCATCATACATACTTAAGGCCAATAGAGCACCCAAAATCTCCTCCTGCACATTACACCATGACACATCATCAACTCTTGCATAATATTTTGGCCATGTGTTATTAAATTGCTGCTGCATTTCTCCAAGTAGACAAAAATCAACTCCACTGAAAAGCAAGTGAGAGTAACATCATGTATGACTGTCTCTTATATTCATAAGTTATTTAGAGAAAGGAGAAGGAAGAAGAAAAAAAAAAAAGATTTGCAGCGAAACTTCAAACAACGCAACGAAGATTAAGACCAAATAGAAGTCCATATCCCTGTGCAATGGAAGATTCTAGTCCTGCAACAACCTATCACCTTATGCTACGGGGCAAGCACCTCACCACTGCTTTACTTTAGCCCAAATCATTCCACAAAATCAATAATCATCACCAACTCAAAAGCAAACTTTGACCGAAGTTTTCAATCGGTTTTCAAGGAGAGCAAATTAAATCCATCGGCTCTGTATCTTAAGCCACTTACTGAAGAATCTACTTCTAAAGATAATACTAAAGATCATCTAAAATAAAATAAGAAAATGTTTATTTGCATTTCCAGTAGTTTTTTAGTATTAGGAATATTGTATTGCAGTCTAGTCCAACTTTGTTATTTATATAGTGCATCTGTATGTTTCTCTCAGCAGGCAATAAAACAAAGAAAAAATACGTGGTTTTAAGTAGCTTGGAATTAAATAGCATTTTCATTGTAAGGCACTTGAAACACTTCTATGTGTGGAAGAGAACTACTTCTATCCCTGAAACACAGGAGAGCTATTTCCATCAATGAAATACAGGAGATACTTGCCATGCAGAGCAGTCAGGACAGACATTAAATGAAATCAGTCAGGCATATGGTTGTCATTCAAGCTCCAGTTTCACTAAAGCTTTACTCCTACTTGATAGACCTTAGGATCTACTCATAACAAATGCAGCCAACAGCTGTTTTGTATCTGTGCTGAGCAAAAATACTCAAATACCCCCGTGCTTCGACATATTCTTCTGGTCTTCTATTTCAACAGCAACCAAGAGAAAGAGTGCCATCTACTGCATATTGAGCAGCTCAGCCAAATTCTGATATTGAACATTTCAAGTTCATTTACTTGTGAGAGAAAGCGAAACTAAGCAGCAGCCTAGACCAAGCTCCATTTTTCATCCTCATTCACTACTGTATTACTATTGTGTTTGGATTCCCAACACAGATGCAGTATAAACCCTCTCCTCTTCCATTCTATTGTAGACCTTTTAAACAAATTGGCCGATTTACATTAGGCTTGAATCCTTTCAATTAATCTACTCCATATACCATGAACTTGCATATATCAGGGTTTTTTTCCCCATTTGTTATGAAATTATTTAACACTTACCAAAAAACAAGACGATCAGTAAAACTATTATTGTAAGGAACATCTTGTTCCAAAATACTGCCAATTTGCTCCATAGAGGAAACATAAAAATCTTCTGCCATCTGTAAAATAGCACTGTGTTATTCAAAAATAATTAAACACTAAAAGAAAAGCATAACCTCACAGAAAATAGCCTTATTATTGATATGAGACTTATGTAAGGTCTCTAAACAGCTGCTTTAATTGCAATATAATTTAGGTATATGTAGATTTTCCAACAATCCAACTTGTGTGTCTCTTTTTTTGTTTCCTGTCAAGACAGTTGGTTCAACTTGAAAACTTCTTGCATGATAGCAGGTACTCTCCAGATATGTTTTATTTTACCTTTTACTTTGGCTAGCATTACTTTGTGTTCAGTCCTGACTACAATAAACTCAAGGATGGGATAAAGACTGTAAAACCCATTCCATCATTTTTATTTCTACCCACTTACACTCCTTGTTGCCAAATAAAATAAAAATCCTCCACAAATTAAGATTGTCTCTACCATCCTTATTCAGAAGCCTTATCCTTTATAATTATGCAGATTCATTGATATAAAGTAAAAGCATTGTTACTACATTCTAACTTGCAAATGACAAAAGGACAGGTCTTGTGTTTACATTTTGTCAAGCATTAAAACCTCCTTCAAGAGCATAAATTTGTTGTCTAAGGAAGCAACTTCAGAGGCCCAACGGTGGTTAAGACCATTATTTTTTTTTTTGTTTAAACAATCAACTGCGTATTCAATATTACTGCATGGGGGGCTCTGCCAGAATTCACACTTGCAGCACAAACATCGGTGTGCTCAAATGAACTCAAACCCACAAGAGCCAACAACAGAGCAGCTACTTGTCCTTGGCTGCTGGTTAGAATCAGCGTTACTGCAAAAGTGAAGTAATACCTAGGTATGCCATTAGGGATGTAACACAAGGACGCTAGCTACCGTCTGATTGTATCAGGTAAAATTTCTAACTTTTGTTAGAGAGTATTGACATTTTCCAGATTGTTAAAATTTGTCCTTTAACAAAGCAGTTTCCAACCTACTATGAATCTAATTTAAATTAGACTGCAGCATCAGCTCCAATGGTTCCTTCTGGTTCTGCATCAGCTGGAATTAAAATATTTTAGCACTGTATAGGCAAAAACCTCATTTAAATCTTTTAGTATAATCTGAATTCTCTATAGCAGACAGCCATAATCTCTATTAACCAAAAAGCTTACTTTAATTAGACCAAGCTGCAACTCAAACAAAGCCAACTTGCTAACTCCTTAAACATGCAATTCTCCAAGTTTTGTATTTATCTCCACTTACGAAGTGATTCTCTGAGGTACAACCTTAGACCAACTATACTGCCAAGTTATATTCAGGCTAAAAATAAGATCTCCTTATTGCAAAGTCTTCCTGTGTTACATTTTCATGCTTATTTTTCCTCAACAAGTATCAACATTCACATTTATTACTGCTGCATTTCCTTTTGGTGACAGAAGTCACATAAACATAATCCTTCCAAATTATAATACTGGCCACCACTATAGCGGTACTGCACTTGCAGCACACTTCCGTCTTTTTGTGTACTTGCATTTTTATATTGTCAATTTACTTATTCCCCAGGAACTTAAAAGCAAATTTGAAAAAGAGTTCAGTATCCAAAAAATGAGCAGGCATAAGAGAGGCAAACAATCTGTTCAAAGACTGACAAGCGAGTAAATCAAAACTTTAAAAAACAGCAGTCTCATGTCTGTCTTTAATCGTGCATGCTTTACTGCTCTGACAGAACCAGCTCCCAGGCCACCAAGATGTGCAAGGCAGAACTGCTGCCTGCTGGTACTGTCACAGCAGCTAAATCTAATCTTTAACCCCGCAAGATTCCTGCGACAGTTTTGTTAACAAGATAATTGAACATGTGATATAAAGGATAAAGCTATTTCATTCTTTCAGAAACCACTGTTCAAAGGAATAGCTGAATGCTACTAAGGGCAAAAATCTATCCTTTGTATATAATGATAATGTTTAATGTCCGAATACATTTTGGTAACACTGCAGGTTATGAATTTGCTTTTCAGCCATGAAGACTGGATTCAAGCCCTATTTATGTCGTGAGACCTATGTCAGTACTCCCAATGTACTGTGCACGCCATCAGCCTGCAGAAATTCTTGCAGCTAGCATCCTCACATAAGCCATCAACAATCCGATGATTACAAATCCCACAATACTTCTCCCTTCTTACATACAGTTGCACTTTTGATTGGGAAACAGAAAATACGAGAGCACAGTAATCTGTGTTGAAATGCTGAACTCCTCACAAGCCAGCTTTGTAAAATCAAAGGTTAAATTAGATTTTAGAACAGTTTCAACTTCTGAAGTTAAACAAACATGACTAATCATGATATCGGCTGTGGACGATCCAACCATTTTGCAGACTCTCCCACAGGCTGACATAGCTAAATTCAGACTCTCGACAGTGCAGGGTTTAGTTTTAAGTTTTGTTCCTTAGCATGTTACAGTAAAAGCTGCATTCTTCATCCTAAATATATCTAAAGATGCAGAAAGCAAACATGTAACAGTTTTTACACAACATTGAGGCAGTGGCAATTTTTTTCAAAAGCTTTAAGGTTTTATCCTACTTGGGTTTTTTGGGGGGGGTTGATTTTTTTTTTTAGAATTACTGATATCTTGGAAAGAAATCATCACTCTGTTTCTCTTGCTTCTTGTAGGGAAGCTAGCTTCCTTTATTCCTTATAACAAAATAAAAATAGCATTACCAAATTTGAAGATTTACTTACAGGACACAATATTAAGGTAAGGTTGTAAGCCAGGCATATGCATACAGGAAGAGTACCACATTTTGTTTCTCTCCCTTACTAAGGGCACTTATTTTACAAGAATTAATTATTTTTCTTCATGTTGGTGTTGTGTTCCACAAGTGTTATTATTTTGTTAGTTTATATGTTTTATAGAGGCCTTTATTTCAGTTGTCCTGAACCTTTTGCATCAAGCGGAAGTCTGCAGTTTTTTTAAAACAGATGATCACAAATTTCTATGATTCTTACAGCCCTCACACACACTGCGGTTAGCTTTGAATATCAGATGTCTCTTATCTGCTCAGCACCCACAATGCCTAGCGCACACCCAAACACTGTAAAGCTGCTCCTCACAAACTTGACAAACAACTCCTGAGAAGGCAGCACCATGCTCTCATTTCTTACTGAGCTCATAGCAAGGGAAGCCAGATGCCCTCCCGTACGCTGGCTACTCCAAAAACCCCTGACAGAAGACTGGGAGACAACGTCCCACTTGCTGAAGCAAAGCAACAGGGCCCGTCCCGGGTACCCCGAGTGCTGCTCGGATGAATCAGCAGTGTCTGTGAAGCAAACATAAAGCTCCCTAGATTCTTGAATCTCCCTAGATTCTTGAAACTCCTGACACTCAACTTCCAAACAGCATTCCTTTGGTTCGCTGCTAGTTTAAAATGCAGATCTTGGTGTTTAAAATGCAGAACTTGGTGTTTATAAAAACAAAAATGTAAAATAAACCCAAACCAGCGAGAAGACCCATCTGGGGTTGTCCAGCACACTTTAGTCCTACCTCAGCGGAGAAATAAACGGCAGGCAGAGCAAGATAACTACTCCCATTTCACCGTACAGAAAGGCGGCAACTGCCGTCCACTGGAAAGTCATCCTCCCGGCTG